ATCACGTACACCAGTACTAATAAGTGTGTGCATATTTAGCTTGTACATGCACATACACACTCTTCTGGGACAGTTGCTAATGTGTATGTATATATGTATATTTACACAAACTTCACAGTGGAAGTTTTTCTCTGAAGCTCTTAGAACAATAATGGTGCATTGGTGTTTCTTCTAGTAAGTAATGACAGTTCTCTCTTTAAAAGGGTGAATTAAATCATATATTCAAATGAATGGAGTGTGTATGTGTTTATAGAAGAACTAATTAGATTTTTTTATCATATAGGTGAAATGTAGAAGTAGACTGTACAGTCCAGAGTTTATAATTGAAGTATTTTAGATAGCCGAGGCTGCAAAATGTTACTAGTTATGTAACCTGTTGAAGGTAGTTCTTTGTTTTTTTTTTTTAATGTGGAGTAAGGAGAGGAGAGAAACTCCTGAAACAAGCGTCAATACTTTTCATGTGTGCACTGGGTGGATTGAATGGAATGTGAGAGGACTGTAATTATTTTGTTGTCTTAAAAGTGATTCAGAAAATGGCTGGGGGAGCTTGGAAAGATCTTTTTTGAAGTGCTTGTAAACCTTTTGTGTAGGTAACAGGAAAAGCCAACACTGGATTTAGTATCTTATTTACATATCCAGTTATAGTCACAAGATTTTTGGCAGTAGCAATTCTTCTAATACCTTTCCGGCTTAGCTGCCTGGGGGAGGGGAGATGGCATGGTTCTGTGTGACTGGCAGGTGCATGTGCATGCACAGCTCCATTTGTGCAAGCGGAGCTTTGTCCGCTCATACAAGTGTCCACTGCTTGTACGAGCACCCACCACTCACACGAGTGGAGTTCCGCATGCTCGCCCACCACTTGTGTGGCCCAGTTCCAAATGAGCTGTGGCCTGAGAGTTGGGGGCCCCTGCTCTTAATAGTTCCAAGGTAGGTCAGAAGAGTGAAGGAAAATGAATGTGGAAGGCAGAACTGTTCTTTTCCTTCCATGATAGCCTGTACTTTGCCATCACTTCATGAATTCAGGGCCGATTTCAAAAATTAAGGCTATCCCTCTTCTATTACTCTACAGTCCTCAACTTACAACCACAGTTGGGACCTGAATTTCAATTATTGCAGTTATATGTCAAGATACCACATGACTGGACCAAATTTTTAGAACATTTTAACAGTCATCATTTAGTTAATCATGTGGTTGTAAGTCTGAATCCATTGTGCAGAAAGGGCATTTTTTGCTGGAAATTCAGTCTTGTGATCATCGGGGTGATGTTTTGCAATGGCCAGAAGTGCTATACAGATTATAAAGCACCCTTTCTGAGAATGTTGTAACTTTGGTTGTTAAACAACTGATCCTTAGTAGACTACCTGTAGCTTGAACCTGAATTGCAGTGGACATTTTCAACAGGAAAGTAATGAAGAATCTGGTTCTGTGAATAAGCTTGGCCAAAACTACAGAATATAATCAGTATTATTCAAGTGAGGAATTACATTTCATAAAATGTTTTCTTTTTGTCTTAAGAAAAATGTGTAATTTTTAAAGAAAAAGTTACATGTCACTGACAAATCCCAAAAATACAACAGCAGATTTAATTTAGCATTAAGGCAGATGAGATGATCTTTGTCATAGTTTTTGGGGAAATGTCAAGTAAAATAATGAGAATTTGAATTTCAAGTTGCTATCCAATTGCTAGAATGTCATTGATAATTATGTATGGACAGCATAATGGTTAACGTAACTGCTGTGTAAGGACAGCCCCAATGGAAAATTGGCTCTTCTGCCAAATAGTTTGCAATTAACAGCTAAGAAAATCTGCAGTTGGGAAGAGACAGATCTTGTGTGTCCTAGTGAAATGTCATTTTGTTCTTCTGACCAAAATCCTAAGTGAAAACAGTTACTAACCTGCAGTTTAGCACCTTGGATGTTGCCTTATGAAATGCATGATCTATATACCGTATTTTTCCGTGTATAAGATGCTATTTTTTCCTGCAAATACCCTGTTCAAAAATCAGGTGCGTTTTATACAAATGCAGCATCTTATACACGGAAAAATAATGGTTACCTCTGCAGCCTAGGGTATGCCTGTATGGGTTGCCATGCCGCCTGTGCAGGTGTCAAGCCCCCCTGTGGGCTTGCCACTAACGGGAGGAGGGAGGGGGCAAGATTGTCAGCTGGCCGAACTTCCAGATTTGCCAGCTCAGCTATTCGGCACTCCGCCAAACAGCTGATCGGTGCAGAGAAACTTGCATGCCAGAGCATCTTATACAAGGATGCGTCTTATAGACGGAAAAATACGGTAACATTCTTATTAAGCACAATACAGTAAGAATTTGAGCATAGGTTGCCAAGAGTATCCAACAGTGATCTGGTTATTATAGAGAATCCTTTCTGTGTCCCAGATACAGATTCCATGCTGAATAAAGCACAGAAGAGATTTTAGTAAAGCCTGTATGGTTCCATTAATAATGCACAAGGGACTCCAGTTCTCCTTTGATCATTTATAAAAAGTTGAGCTGCATCTTATTTTTAATTTATATTTCCTTTCTCAGTTTTTTCCTGCCTTTAATTTAAATTTAATGCTTTAATTTTCAAACTTTTAAACATATCTTCTATGCATTGCAGTTGGGATCCCATCCGAGTTGTATTGTCACTGAAACAGCAAGGTAGGCAACCTGCTATTAAGGTATCATTAGACAGTTGATTGTCAGCCATGTTCTCTGACAATCTGACTTCATTTTTAAAGAATCTTTTAATTTAACTAATTTTGAAATTGACATGCTCCAGCCCACCTAATACCCATAGACATTTTTTTGCAATGGAAAAAGGCAAGTGGCTTCAACTGAGGGCTTTTTGGTGTGTATCCCCAATTGTCCGTTAAAAAAAGATGAAATAAGCAATGGATGATATCATGCCCTTCCACTTTATCCTTTGATTGGCCATACCCATCATGGAAGTCATTTTGTGAGAATACTTCCAACATGCCTCCTCCCCCATTTGTTCTGCTACTGCATAATCCTGAAATGTATTTGTCCTGAATCTCACAGATAGGAATTCATCTTCATGGGTGTTCATTTTTTGGCATTTGGATGTGATTTTTTGTACTATTCCACAAGACATTCCATGGTACAGGTAGTCCTCAACTTACAACAGTTCATTTAGTGACTGTTACAACACCACTGAAGAATGTTTTTCAAAGTTACAACCTTTGCAGCACCTTCATGATCATGTTGTCAAAATTCAGGTGCTTGGCAACTGGTTCGTATTTATGACCATTGCAGTATCCCCAGGGTCACATGATCACCTTTTGCAACCTTCTCACAAACCAAGTCAATGGGGAAGCCGGATTCATTTAATAACTGAGTTACTAATTTATAAACTGCAGTGATTCACTTAACAACTGTGGCAAGAAAGGTCATAAAATAAGGCAAAATTCACTTAAATGTCTCACTTAACAGAAAATTTGGGCTCAACTGTCGTAAGTCAAGGACTACCTGTATTAGAAACTACTGGGTATGACCAACTTTCCTCAGTCAAGATTAATATTAAAACCAATGTTCAAAACAGGCTTTTTTCAACTCTGTTCTTACCATAGTTCATCTCCCCATCCATTGACCTTACATTACAAAAAAAAATTAAATATGACCTTTCCACCTGATGCTACCTGCTTTGCTTTTAATATTGCCAGCTATACTTCCATAACTATTGGGCAAAGCTGGTTCAACACCAACTCTGCACATGCTGTAACTACAAGGTTAAGATTCAGTGCTATTACCAGCCAAATATGATACACAATAACATCAATTTTAATACTTAGATGAAAAACTCATATTAAACTTTAGTAGCAACTTTTGGAATGGATCTGACTATTTTTTAAATTCCAGCCTTTTGCATCTTTTCAAATGTTCATTTAATAACAAAAATGAGTTCCCATTTGAAATAAATATTGGCATGAGCAATATTGGGAAGCAAGTAAAAGTGTGCTGTACGATTTCTTAAGTTTTCATATTCTAGGTAGCTTTTGGATAGCTGTTGTTAGATTATTGTTTATTAAATACCATGCATTTCTTCAAATGTCAGGAAATGATTCCTAATTTCTTAGGCTTATGTCAGTCCAGTATTCTGGTTTGAAATTAAATCATACATGACACTTATTTCATGAAATGGAAAAAAATGCCCAAGAGTAGAAAGAACTTTGGATACAACTGCTATATCAGTCAGCCACAATTAATAAGACATACTAAAGCAGTGATTCTCAACCTTTTTAATGTTGTGACCCCAACCGGTCGTAAGTCGAGGATTACCCAACCAGTCGTAAGTCGAGGACTTTTCCTGCCTGGGAGCGCCACGCATGCATGGTGCCGCCCCCTGCGCTGGCCGAGGCGTAGCTGGTAAGGGGCAGCAACGGCACAGGGCGACCACCGGCTGGGCCACCAGCTGGCTCAGCCCAAGGAAGGTAAGGCACCCCCCGGGCCGCACGCGCGCCAGCAACCCTCCCTGCACCCGCCCACCTCCCACCCCTGGCCCTCTTTTACTTACATTTTTAGTAGTTGCTCAGCAGGGAGGGGTGGAAGCTTCCAGACAGCTCGCCTTCGCTGCAGACAACTTGCAGCAACGTTTGCAGAATGGACTTTTGGCGGGCTCAGCGGGGCAGAGACAGCCTGGACAATTCCTATTGGCTTTTGAAAGCCAATAGAATTAGACTCTATTCAAGAGAGTCTATTCTATTGGCTTTCAAAAACAATAGAATAAAAGGGAGTAGCACAGCTAAGGAAAAGGGGGGGGAAATGGCGGACTGCATTGTTTGGCGACCCCCGTGAAGTGGTCGTTCAACCCCAAATGGGGTCATGACCCACAGGTTGAGAACTGCTGTACTAAGGAGATACAACTTGGGAGTATAGTAACAAGGTAAGTACCATTTACTGCTTCTTTAAATTTACATTTAAAATCAGATAAGTGGGAATAAGTATGAATTATTTTATCATTCATGCATGTTACCCAGTTCAGATGAATTCAGTATCCTGGATAGATCCTTTTATTGTTAGAGCAGGATGTATTTTACAGGTTACATAGATTTTTTATACATATCCAGCATCCAGGATTTAAAGAAACATTCTAATACAGAGAAGAGATTCAGCTTTTCAAAAACAAAAAGTGCTTTTGTTTTAGTCAGAAATGGGAGTCTTTCTATGAGAAAGGGTGAAAATTTTAGAAGTATCATTGAACTATAAATTCTCTTTTTGAAATGTGAAAAAATGAAGTAAATGTTTCTCAAGTTGCTCTTCCAATTCATGATGAAAACCAGCTTGCACACCAACAGTTCTAACCACCTTTTTGATCATGGCTTGGCAGAAGCACTTTCAGCAGCCTCTTCTATCTGCTCAACGCTCGTGTTCATATACCGTAGTGATCTATATTTTTGAACGTCCTGCAGAATGATCATAACACGGAAAGTAAGAAACAGTTAATTCTGTCATTATTTCTACAGCATGGCAAATAGATGCTTTAATGTTCACTTATCTATAATTCTTAAAACATCCCTTACACAGGAGTGGACAGAAGATAGATCTGGATATCTAGTTAGATTACTGGATAACACAAGAGTAAATCAGCAAATATTTCAGATTTCTCCAAAACACCAGAGGGCAAGACAAGAAACAATGATTGGAAACAGACCAAAGAGAGAAGCAACCTGGAATTAAATTAAGGAGAAACTTCCTAACAGTGAGGACAATTAACCAGTGGAACAGCTTGCCTTCAGAAATCGTGAGCGCTCCATCAGTGGAGGTTTTTAAGAAGTGACTAGATCAGGGGTGTCAAACTGCCGGCCCACAAGCCGGACATGTCATCCGGAAGCCAGCCCCACCCCATTGCCGACAATGGCAAAACCGTCTTGATAAGTTTACGATGTCATGTGACATCGCGAGTTTGACATGTCTGGACTACACAGTCACTTGTCTGAAATGGTATAGGTTCTCCTGCTCGAACGGGGCTGGACTAGAAGATCTCCAAGGTCCCTTCCAGCTCTATTCCTATTCTAATAGCGAGAGCAAAAAATAACTGCTTCCTAAAATAAGCCATTTTTAAGCTACAGACCTTCTTCAGATCACTTTGGGCTATGGCTCATAAGAAGAAAACAAATATTACCTCTCTCTCTCTTCATTGCCACCATTTTTCCACTTACATTCATTGTTCTAAGGATATACATGTGTATAATTCTACAAGCCTGAAATCTGCAACAGAAGAGAGGTAAGGAGAGTAGCCTATGTTTTACTGGGTTACTCCTTCATGTTCAAGTTTGTATCTCTTGGATTTATGTACCGCTCATCTCTTCTAGAGGTGATTCTGGGCAGCTTACGAACATTAAAATCAGAAACATTAAGAATAGTAACAGTAATCATACTAAAAATTGATTAAAAGGGAGGAGAAAGCATAAATACAGGGGGGGGAGGTTGGGTCTTTAATCTACTAACCACCTCCACAGTTCCCCTGCACTGAGGCATGCTAGTAGAGCGAGGTCTTCAGGCCCTTGGGAAGGTCAGGAGGGTCAGTGCAGATCTCACCTTGGGGGGGGGGGTATGAAGTTCCAAATGGAAGGGGCCACAGCAGTGTCTTCAGGATCCCACCTGTTAGAATTCTTTGGCTGACAGGATCCATAGCATGCATGGATGGGGCGGGCTGAATTCATTGGGGTGAGGCAGTTCCTTAGCTGGGACCCAAGCCATACAGGGCTTTAAAAGTAATAACACCTTGAATTGCAGCCAGAAGCAAACCAGCAGCCAATGAAGCTTGTGGAATGGCAGTATAACATGGGCCAATTGAGCCTCCCAAGAACTGCATGCATTGCTACATGCTGCACCACTTATAGCTTCTGAATACTCTTCAAGGGTAACCCCATTAGAGTGCATTGCAATAGTCCAGGTGTGAGATGTCTAGGGTTTGAGCGACTGAGTGCAGGGACTCCCGATCCAGGAAGAGGTGCAACTGGTGCACAATGTGAAGTTGGGCAAAGACACTCCTGGCCATGACTTTGAGCAGAATTCAAGAGTCCAGGAGAACTCCCAAGTTGTGCACTGCGTCTGTCTGGGGTAATGCAACCCCATTCAGAACTAAATATGTTAAAGAATTCCAGATCTTGAAGTTCCATGCACCCAAAGCCATTATGTCTTGCCAGGGTTCTGCTGAAATTGTTGTCCCCCATCCGGGCCCCTCCCCACTGGAGGGTGGCAGCAGCATCACTTGGATCACCAGGGGTGGAGATGCAAAGAATGTAGTCTGGAGTTCTTTGGACAAATGGTGGATACAATAACATTAATCAAACTGTTATGTATATAAGGAAGAAGGCACCCAAGGGGCTCATTGGGTATTTAGGATAGATGACTGACTGATTTATTTATTTATGAGACTTATATACCGCTTTAAGTGCAAGCACACTCTAAGCGGTGTACACCAGTAAGCAATGTATATATATATTTACATTGCCCCCAACAATCTGGGTCCTCATTTTACCTATCCCGGAAGGATGGAAGGCTGAGTCAACCTTGAGCCGGTGAGATTTGAACCGCTAAAGTGGCCTATGATTGATTTGATTCATTGGCTCATACAACCTAAGTGTTTCCTACTGCATGGAAGATGTTTAAACAAAAGTCAGAAAATAATGCGATCCTATAGGACAGTTGCAGATTGATTGGCAGGAGCTAAGAAAGTCACATTTTTGTGTCAACCATTACAGAGAGTCTTCTCCACACTATTTTCAATGAGCTTTGAAATATAATTGAATGGGCAATGCATTAATACTTTTGTTTCCACTTTCAACCCCGTAACAATTTTATACTAACCTGTTTCCCTAGCAAAACTGCAGATACAAAACCTACAAGCAGGATAGCCATTCCGAAGTAGGCTACCTTCACACGAAGCTTGCTCCTTGATGCACTCATCGTCTTTGCCCTTTAAAAAGCAATCATAATGTTATCCCATGGAAATAGGGAGCCAGGGAAATGGCTATATTGCACGTAAGATCTTGAAGGCAATTCTCCCATGGTTTTAGCTTACACTTAAATTTTTACTTGTTTAGTAGTTTAAAACATTTGCTCTGTTTTATTGCGCTTTACCCAGAGTTGCTTTCATGACCTGCATGGCCATTTAAATTAGAATGATAAGAACCTAGATGCTTACACATTACCAATTTTCAACAGGAAAAAATATCAAATCTATCTACTGGATCATCTCTCTTGCAATTCTAGCTGTCTTTTCTGCATACTGATAGCTGGCTAAAACAATACATTTGAAGAGACTCCACAGATGAGTCATTGAAAAGCAATCATACTTCCTGTTAATTACAATAGGATGTTTGCAATTTCCTATATGGACTTATGAGAAAAGATGAAATAGCATATTTGCATGACAATAGCAATGACAGTGAAATATAAAGGATAGGCTTGTACTATGAAAGTTATGAACAGTGGACAGCTTTGTGTTCTGCCCAGACGGAACTCGTGGCTCTGAATTCAATCTAAACAGACAGATAACTCAATAGAAATGATTTAAACAAACATTTATTGTCCAGGAATTCTAAGCAGAGACTTACTATGCTGTAGATGCATCTGGTTTTCCATATTTGTTCATTCCTATAGGTAATTTAATATTGAATTTTCCCCTCTTCTTCTGCTGAGAGTCACATGTTGGCAAAACACATGTGGCTGGATGAACAAAGGCTTCCATCTGGCTTGTGTCCAGGAAGTCTCCCAATGACCCTTTTTGACTCCTCCCACTGACCCATCAACATACCCAGCATTTAACCCAATAACTGCCAGATATTCTATCATACTAGAACATGCTCCCTAGTTAGAGTTACGTAGGTCTATGCTAAGTCCAGAACACTTGTACTATGAAAGTTATGAACAGTGGACAGCTTTCTCCAATCTGAATGTGATTCAGATGTATGAGCTTCAAATTCCAGAATTTCCATTGCTCATATGAACTAAGGAAAACAAAAAATCTGGAGTGAGATGAGTCTGAGAAAAGCCAATAGAGCTTACTGAATCATACCTACAATTACTCTTTAGTTCAGCATCCTAAGAGTTTTACAAGAGCTTTTCTGCAGATAAAATAGGTCCTCTGAACAAGACATTCCATTTAACTGCCAACAGACATTCTCATCAAATTTACAGAATATAGAATAACAGCTGGAAAGGAACTTGAAAATCTATTCCAACCCTCTGCTCAAGTAGGAGACTCTATACCTATACCCTATTGACCCCCTCTTCTCTGTGACAGCCCCTCAAATATTAGAAGACTGCTATCATATCTCTAGTCCACTTTGTTAGACTAGTTCTTGCCATTGTTCACCATACACACTAGCCTCCAGTCCCCTAATCATTTTTTTATCAAATTTATAAATTTTATATACAAAATTATATTTTTCTTTTTAAAAAACCATTATTTAAGCCAGTGGTCTACCAATAACTATCAATATCGTAATTTCATACAAGTATTCAGCCTTATTTGGCTGAAACAGATGACAATCCACTTGACTGGATATCCCAGAGGTCATGTTTTATAAGTCTGTTATGTTTTATAAGCCTCTCTATCTGAGCTAAATAGACAAACATTTTGGATAGTTCTTCATAAAGAAATGGCTTAAGCATTTGGTGTGAGTTTCCAAATCACAGGTAGTAATTCTGTTCTATTCTACATTTGTCAGCCTATACCTAGAGTTCTGTGTCAAGCTTTGGACAAACAGTACTTCAAGATTCAAAGAAACTGGAACAGGAAGAGGAAAAAATGGTCATAGAAAGAGAGATTGGGGGAAACGGGTTTAATCTTGAGAAAGAGAATTTTGTGAGGATATGATAATATTCTTCTAGTTCTTGACGGAAGTATTTTATAGACAAAATCATTATCTACTGTCCAGACTGCAGTTTATAGAAAAATAATCTTAAAGCAGATTATGTTTGAATGCTAGGGGAAATCTAATGATAGATTTAAGACAGGTTGCTTGTGGAGGTAATGGATTTTCCTTTGATGGACGCATTTAAGCAGGAACTAATCAATATTTGTTTGGAGATATTTTCATGTGGATATCTGTATTACAGATATTCTATGATTTTAAAATCGGTCCTGGATGCAATTCCAACTAAACAGAAAAACATCAGTGTGGGTATGGCTGTTATATATTCAACATTCAAAATACTTTCATCATTTAAAGTTTAATTTGTTGAATATATATGCTGCAAATCCTTAACACCTGATCATGTGAGATCATTTTTGCCCAAAGAAAACAATTTTGTTGCTTAGCTAACAAGATACAGCAACTGGCAATCTACTTGTTCTTGCTGGTGTTGGGTATATTCTTATGTTGTTTGCGAGCATTCTGCACCTGTAATCTTATCAGCTTCTGCCTTGAACTAAACAGATGGATTTACATTTAATTATACTTAGAGAAGAGTTACTGAAATGAAAAGTGGCAGTATGGCAGATTTTAATAGGCATACTTTAAACCTTATTATTTCTGAGTAGAACTCTTAGAGGATTGTTTTGTACATTTCATAAATACATATAAGAGTTAACACTGAATATGCTAAACACTGCATATTATTAAAGCATAAAATAGAGTTTGATTTTTAAAAAGAACTGATATTCCCCTCAAAGGAAGGAATTAGCAGTCTCCACATTCTCCAAAGACTACTTAGTGGTCCGCAATTGCAGAAACTTTGAAAGTCTTCTCTAGTATGTGCTTATTGAAAGAAACATAAACAACTTTCTGTAACTGGGTTAATTCCTGATCACTTATGATCTTAAGTGAGATTTTAAGGCTTCTCTGCTAAAAAGCATTTCATACAACTTTTAAGGGACAACCTTGCACTTTGCAAACTGCATTATAGACAGAGCAAATTGGCTCAAATGACAGCAAGTCCAAAGTCAACTTCAGACTAAAAGCTGCACCAGGGCTTCCAAGAATGCAGCACGTTGGCTTCAGATTGCTGCTCTTGTATTAATATGCTGCCATCCCCCCACCCCACGACCATCTGCCTTTTCAACACATGAAAAATAGGTATCTACTTGAAACAATTGGCGTTGGCAACAATCATTTTTAGTGGATAAAGAAAACTGAACATACGAGATGTCCTGAGGTATATCTTCTCCTTTCTTGAAGCGGCCTGACCACACCAACAGTTTCTTATCCCATTCAGAAACTTTGTGGTTGAATGGAGAGGAGAGGCCTGCAGGAGAAACAAAAGAGAAAATGCACCCACCTGAAACCCCAAGGACAAAAGGCAGCATCAGAACTGAACTCCAGCATCACAGCCAGCATCAAAACTGATAACAGTTTTCCTACGGGTAACATACTTTATAGACAAAGAGTACAGGGTTAGAAGAGACCTTGAGAGATCTTATAGTCCAGGGGTGTCAAACTCGCAACGTTACGTGACATGTCGCAACATATCGCTACTTTTTTTCCATTGCTGGCAATGGGGTGGGCGCGGTTTCACCATGATGCATCCGGCCCGTGGGCTGGCAGTTTGACACCCGTGTTGTAGTCCAATCTCCTGCTCAGGCCAAAGATCCCATACTGTTCTGCACTAACTGTCCAGTTTCAACAATGAAGACAGCTTTAGTTCACCACGAAGAGAAGCAACTGTACAGTTAACATTCATTCTCCACTCCCATGTGATAGCGGAAGTAGCTATTTCACTTCTGTGACTCCCAGACTTCCTGCCTTTATTCCTTCTTTCATTGTTCTCTCTTGATATTCAGATCAAAGGGATATTTTCATAGCAGCCTTTTCTAGAGAGCTGGATGCAATATATCTGAAGCAGGATAATTTGACCTCATCATTTGTGCTTCAAGTGAAAACTCTAGGTTGACTTGTAGTTTTCTTGCTGTCTGTGGTACTCACGACCAACACCAAAGATCAAAAGCATCAACAATCTGCCTCTCTTGCTTCAGTCCAACTTTCACTTCCATATAGCGTCACAGGAAATATCATGGCTTCATACTAAGTAAGCTCAGTTTTACATTTTTTTTTTTTGCCATGGTCGCTAAGTAAATCACTGCAGTTAAGTGAATCTTGCAGTTCTTAATTGAAACCAGCTTTCCGCATTGACTTTGCTTGTCAGAAGCCAGGTAAGAAAGTCACAAATGGAGATCACATGACCCTGGGATGCTGCAACCATTGCAAAGACATGTTGGTTGTCAAGTGCCCAAATTTGGATTATGTTCCTGTGGGAATGCTGCAATAGTTTTAAGTGTGGGGAGCAGTTGCAAGTCACTTTTTTCACTGCCATTGTAACTTCAAACAATCGCTAAACAAATGGTTGTAAGTCAAGGATGACCTGTATATGCTGGAAAATCAATGTTCAGTGCTGCAATCTCAAGCAGGTAGTTTTTCAAAATAGTAGACAGATCTCCCAGGAGGAGAATGCAGCCAGCACTGTTCTATCATCAGCGGTGGATAGTTCCTTGGAAAAACTCTGCAAGACACTCTAACCCACTCTTTCTCAAACTTGGCAACTTTAAGCTATGTGGGCCAACTCCCCAAATTCCCCACCCAGCTTAAACTTGCCAAGGTTGAGAAAGACTGCTCTCATCATTATATCTGAATATTCAGCCATGTCTGTTATTTTGATTCTTGTGAACTTGTACCAAAAAAATAGCACACGATTCCTGTGCAGTTTCATTTGATGCAATAGTGGAACTGACAAATGCGCCACTAGTGGCCAAGTATGCAATTCCGTGCTTCTGTATACTCATAAACTGCAATGGAATGTGCGCCTCCAGGAACAATTGGGAAGGAGTTTTGAGAATAGAGAGCTTTCTCAGAGAGAGGCTCAGATTAAACAACTGCACAGTCCTGTGCTGGATAAGGGAAGGAGGAAGAAGTTCAGGATAGTCACACCCTAGATCTCTTAGGAAATTAATAGGGTAGAGGGTTAAAGCTTTGGTTTGGCAAGTTTTTCTCCATTAAGTATAAGCAAACAAAGGACTGGACTCAATTGGATTTTGCTGTGTCACAGGTAGCTCAATACAACTCTAAGCCTTTACAAGTAGCTCAGATTAACTGAGAAGCTTTGTTAATTTAATAATCAAGGTCTCAAGTGTTCTCAGTGGCTATCCCCTTTTAAAGCAGAGAGCCTAGTTTCAAGAAACTTCACATGCTAATTGTGGCTTGCTTAAATGTGAGAGAATCTAGAAACTGATCTTGATCAAAACAGGTACCTATCCCAACTAAGTGGTATGTAACTACACACCTGTCAGTCTGCTATCAATGAATAAGATTCTAGATCAAACATAAAGTGATCAATATGAAAACATACTAAAACAATTATCATCCATATGTCAGTTCAGATTTGTCAAAAAGTCAGATTAACCTTATCTCATATTTTGATTGAGTAACTTCCTTAACAAATTGTGGAAATATTGTACATCATGATATTCTGATTATTCAACTAATTAGACAGTGGTGGAATGGCATGATAATTAAAGAAATATGTAATTGGCTCCAAAGCTATAACTCAATTTCTTGTTGTAGATTCCTTGTCAGACTTTAGTTATAAGCCCTCTACTGTATTCAATATTTTTATTAATGAGCTGGCTGAAGAGTTGGAAAGACTGCTTATCAAACTTGCAAATGACACATAAGTGAATGGAATATGATAGAAATTTCAAATAATTAACCTCTTGAGAAATAAACCTGAGGATAACAGAATGAAGTATAGACTACTAAATGCATTCAGGAACGAAAAATGCACAGATACTGTAGATAATGAAGAATTATCTTGTGAGGAAGTTATTGGAAAAGGAAAAGTGTGTTAATTAAAAACTGAGCATGAGTCAATAATGCAAACGTACAGAATGCAAAAAGTAATATTTTTCATTTATTCCGTATTAGTTTGATCTTATTCGGATTATTATTTTCAGCTTTGTGTATCACACTTTAAAAAGGATTCAAACAAAACAGTCATTCAAAAGTCATTCAAGACAGATATTCAAAGAGCAAAAAGGATGATGAGAGACTAAAAACAAAAATTTACACGAAAAGATGGTAGGAACTGGAAAAGTTTTAATTTTCAGAAGAAAAAATTGCATAGGAATGTTTCAAATACTTGAAATGATGTAATATAGAGAAGGCTACATCTGTTCTTTATTGAACTAGATCACGTGAAACAAATTAATGGATTTAAGCTATCAAAAGGAAGATTCTGATTGCTTTCTAACTTTTATTTATATATATATTTATAGCCTGCCTTTATTTTAATAAATAACTCAGGCCGGTGCACATGCCTAATATTCTTCCTCCTCCTATCGGCCAATAGACAATTCAATATTGAAATAAATTACCCATTGATATAGTGGTTTCCTCTTACTGGATTGTTCAAGCAGAGACGTATTTATTTGGAATGTTTAATTTGAATTCACACATTGAGCAAAGAGTTAGACTATATGACTAAGTGGCTCCTTCTTATCAGCTATTAATAGAATATTTACTCTGCCTTGACATTTTCAAATACTTCAGTCAAGGGAATGATACAGAAATCCAACACAGGAAAGTGCCTTTTTTTCTAATTTAATATACCCTCTTTTCCAAAAATAGTGATACCAGACCCTTCTCTGCCATCCCAGAATCTATATACGGGGATGACTGTATATTATTGGTCCACTCTGTTCTAATAAATTTTAAGTATATTTAATATCTTGTTTTGACATCCCTATGTCAACGTTTGTACAATGTTAAGTCTTAGTTCCATATATTTCTTGAGTGTGAATTCTTTATAACACAAAAAAAGGCGCAAAAAGAAACCTCTGACTTCCTGGAGAAGGCCAAGATTTCAGAAAAGGCTTGCCCTTGCCTGCTTCCTACAACTGAGAGAGAGGAATTAGCCCAAGGGCACTTAGCTGGCTTTGTACCCAATACGGGACTAGAACTCATGATTTCCTAGTTTTTAGCCTGATACCTTAACCACTACACCACACTATCATTTTTTTTCTAGGGGGCAAATTAAAAATTTGCTCTGAATGGTTTGGATGTGGGAGTTTGGTACTTATATACAACTTCCTAGAGTGGAGTTTTTCTTTCTGCATATAACAGCTTTGAAACTGAGGGAATAGAGCACACAATGTAGTCATCTACTGGCTGTGTTCATCCAGAAACATAATCCATGGTCCATCGAACCAGAACAAACCACAGTTATATGGATTGACACACCATCGAGCTATAAAAATCACGGTTTGCTAACAGTGGTTGAGTTCACATAACATACTAACAATCACATTTTGGTTCAGCATACTGTGTGAACCCACAGATGTGTCAACTTCCATTCATACTCTTGAGGCCCTTAATATCTTCTCATTTGTTCCAAGTTAAAAGCCTGATCAAAACCAAATTTAATTACAACACAGATCTTAGTAGAACTAGAGGGCACAAGTTCCTCGAAACGCAGACTATAAATCAAACTCAAATGCACCTGACTGCATTTTTGGACATAAATCTACATCCATGTAAATTGTTTCCCAACGAAGCATACAAAGGATTCGTCAAGAAATTATGAAGGCTCCACTTTACCTGCTTCTTTGAAATGCGGGTTTTTTCCATCGGCCTTCTCAGTTTTGCAATACAGTCTATTGGTGATCAAATACGGTGTTTTAGCAGGACGTGCGACCGAAAAAATGCGTTTGTCCAGCCTCCTGACAATTTTGCCTGGACGAAAAAGAAACAGCCTTATTAAATTAACAACGAGAAACCAGTAAGTAACCCATCGCTTGGCTTCCGATTCCTCTAGCTCGAAAGAGAACGGACAGATGGTCGATCGGGAAAAGTTCACGAGACCGAGCGGAAAAGAAGGAGCTCCGTTTTGGGAGGCGAGAAAACCTAAAAGCTGCCTAGGAGCCAGCAGAAGCACCCACCGACAGCCAGCGACATGATTACGATTCGCCCTTGGATTTCCGCGGCCCGACTCTCCGTTTCCGGCCCTTCCGCTCTCCTGGTCCAGCCCTTCGAGCCAGCTTCTTCGCGCACTAGCTCGATGGCACCGCTCGCCTCTTGCCGAGCGGGAGAGGTTGGGTAGCTGAGGCCGACTAGTGGGACCAGCGCGAACTGCAAATAAAAGGGAGAGTGGAGTGCAAAGAGAAATGATTGCTCCTTAGGATAATACGGATTTCTGCTCTTTACTCTAATACGGATTTCGCCTCTTTACTCTAGAAACTATTTTTATGTTAACTTTAATGCGATGAAATGTGTTCTATTACGGGGGTGGAAATAATTTTCATTGCCCTTCTGATGCTTTCCTACTGTTAATATACATTTTTCTTTAATATGCCAATATGTTCTGATAAAAATATCAACATGTTTATATTAGTTCTTTCACTGGAAAAGGTAAAATATATGCTGAATAACAGTGGAACGCTAGAAAAATGGCCCTAAAATATAGCCTTGCTTTTATTGAGGCTAGAATGATGGATCTAGCCTGGACAGAAGGGGCCAATAATAAAACTGGAATTGTAATTGTTGAAAGAAAAATCTTCAGTTCAGTCCAAGCTGGGAATAAACAAAATGGAAATTGCTTTAGAAAGAAGATTGTAGTTTATTGAAGAGCAGAACCACAAAATATGTGGCTCTGGAGCAGCTGACCACATGTTGCTGCGAGTGATGGGTTTTTATACCTTCTTGGGTTTTTGTGTTTGGAATTGTTCCTGTGGCATGAACTTTGACCTGAGGGATTGCTGGTTCTAGGGATCTTTGTCTTTCTAATCCCATCAACTCTAAGCTTCCTGGCTCCAGTCTTTCTTTCAATCTTTCTGAAAAGATTATCAAATCTGCATTTCTACAGACCTGGCTTCCATTTCTAAACGGATGAGCCCAGTGTTACATGACACTTTGTAAGATGCTGCAAAAATAATAAATTTCATCAAAAGCTGGCCATTGAATGGACGTTTATTCTGGCAATTATGCAAGGATTTGGATTCTGAGCACAGCACTCTTCTCTTTCATACAGAAGTAGTTGGTTGTCAAGATGTGAAACATTATCGAGATTATTCGAGCTAAGAGATGAAATGCACCTGTTCCTGACAAATGTTTCATCACCTTTAGCAGAAAAAATTGAAAATGTCTTCTGGGTAGCCTGCCTTGCCTATTTGGCTGACATATTTAAAAAACTAAATGAACTTAATCGGTCACTGCAGGGCCACGGTCATAACGTGTTTGTTATGGAAGACAAAGTTTGTGCATTCCACAAAAAAATCTCCCTGTGGATAGAACAAGTTAAAAAAAGGAAATATTGCCTCATTTCCCAATGTATCAGACTTTATTGAACTAAATTCTATTGTTGTCACTGAAGGCATTGAAACTGTCATCAAAAATCATTTGGAAAAATTGCACAGAGTTTGCATTGTAATTTCCATTTGTGTCAAGAGGATGTGATACTAGAATTTGCTGGGTTGCATCACCCTTCATCATGGACAATGTTGTGAACTCTGACTTTTCCTCTCCAGAGCAAGAGGCACTTCTGGAATTGACATCAAAATGCAATTTGAAAGAACTTTTTAATGAAAAAACACTGACCGAGTTCTGGAGCCAAGTTGCAAAACTGTACCCGGAAGTGGAGGGGAAAGCTATCGCAGCCTTACTGTCATTTGGTTCCATATACTTGTGCAAGAAGGCATTTTCTTCAACATGTATAAAAACTAAGGAAAGGAATTGTCTTCAGCTGGAATCTGACTTAATTCTGTCAGTAAGCATTCTCCAGCCACAAGTGCAAAGATTAATGGCAGAGAAGCAGGCACAAGTTTCCCATTAAAAGTGTGGGTAAGTGGATGTACTTTATCACTTTTTTCCTTTTTTGGGGGGGGGTCATTAAGTTTTTGACACTTTGCTAAGCCACTAGTGATACTCAAATATTGTCATGTCCTAAAGGTGATACAGTCTGTGAAAATGTTGAAAAGCTCTGCTGTAAATGAACTTAAAACATTCCCTCCTGACAACTTTGGGCCGTTCTTACAAAGGGGGATTGTAGGAAGACACCCCCCCCCAGAGAAAGAAATATTTTGGGGAATATTAAAAGGCAGAAACCTTTCCCTCTCCCCCAGCCAGAAACTCAGGAAGCCAGGTCTGTAGAAATGCAGATTTGATAATCCTTTCAGAAAGTCTGGAGCCAGGAAGCTTAGAGCTGATGGAATGAGAAAGACAAAGATCCCTAGAACCAGCAACCCCTCACCAATCCAACACAGGACAGCCATCAGCCCCAGCACCAGGGAAGCAGGATATGACCTTTAGGCCATAATAGGATTAACCCACCACCATTAGAATACCAAAAGAACACACTGAACCTCAAGTCAAAGTTCATGCCATAGGAACACCTCCAAACACAAAAGCCCAAGAAAGTATAAAAACCCATCACTCTCAGCAACATGTGGTCAGCTGCTCCAGGGCCACATGTTTTGTGGTTCTGCTCTTCAATAAACTACAACCTTCTTTCTAAAGCAATTTCCATTTTGTTTATTCCCGGCTTGTACTGGACCCTGATGAAGATTTTTCTTTCAACATAATAGTCCATTCAAGTTGGTCATCACCCAGAATTAACAGTTTATAGTGACATAGCATTCCTAGATTGGACAAGTCCCCTTACCCACCCTCTAAGTTACAATAAGAATCTGATGAATTCCTTAAATGCCTGCATTGTAAGTAAACATTTTTCTCATTTTTCCATCACAGAGAATCACAAAGCCTATCCTCATTTGCACCTAAATAAAATACAAATATACCCTGGCAGCATCTTATTTCTACCGTACCCATGAAAATAATACTACTGGTAACATCTTCTCCCCATCCCCATGAGCAAGACATGCTTAAAAAGTCCTTTATTACCACTCCCTCCTTCAAGCCAATGGGATCCAACAACAACTATAAGGTTTGTTTGTGTAAGATACCTTTCACCCCCCTTTTACATCAGAGGGAAAGTCAGATGACCAGGACCAAGCAGCATTTATTGGTTATTCCAGCTGATACATCTCCTCTCTTCTGATTCCTGATCAACCTCATTTGCTCTCATAATACTGTTGTTTCCTTACAAAGTTGGATTCAGTAGCTCTAAGACACTGGTCTACCCCACTGCAGCCCTATAACTTTTGCCTGTTTAGTGCAAAACTGAAATGGAACCATGGGCTTATGAGAGTTCTCTCCATTATTTTGTAAACAGAGATCAAAAGAATCTGGAAGTTGATACCTAGAAGTTATTCTTCACCAGCTGTAAGGGCTTCATTTTTGAAAGATTTGCAGTTGGATAATTGGTGGCTGTACACCAAGGCTGGAAAAGCTAATGCATAATTCCACCTGATTGGGAGTGGAATGGGGGGTATGTATATATGTATTATTTATCAAATTTATATAGTTTCCCAATTATATACTATATAAAATATAGTTCCAGAATGTCAAAAGAGATGGAGCTAATTTCAGAGGGGGGGGGGAGAATGCTCTATAATATGGTACCATGGCAGGTATGTCTTCTGGGATGCACAAATGTAGATTTCTAACTGATGGCCAAATCTAATATAGATCAGGCTGAAATATCTGGGGAGAAACAGTCCCTCAGATAATCTGGTCTCATGCCATGAAGGGTTTTAAAATGTCTGTCACAATGCAAATATGCCCCTTATGTGCAACCTTGCCAGATTGGACGAAGACCTCCAATATCCCTTCCAGCTCTACATTTCTAAGATTGGAGAAACAGCTCCTAATTTGGGGGATTCCTCCAGCTTGGGAGATGCATCATGCAACAGAAGCATCCTCTCTTTATTCAATTTGTACTGAAATAGAAATTGTGAGTCTCTTTTCCCTTTGTGGCCACAGAGGAGTTACTGTCATTGACAGGATTCCCTCAAAAAATTAAGAGCTTTTGCAGATGATTTGGTTTTAACTTTAGTACAACCTACTCAAGTAGCTGGTCACTTGTTGGAAATTATATCTCAGTATGGAAAAGTTTCTGGTTTTAAAATAAATAATAATAAAACTAAAATGTTATCTAAAAATATGTCTAATAAGGAAAATGAAATTTTAGTTGAACTTACAGGTTTTCAGATGGTGAAAAAGGTTAAATATTTGGGAGTATATATAACAGCTTCTAATGGTAAACTATATAAGAATAATTATGAATTATTATGGGCAAAAGTACAAAAGGATTTAAATGACTGGAAAAAGTTGCAATTGTCGTTGTTGGGGAGAATATCAGCGGTAAAAATGAATATTCTACCAAAGTTTCTTTTTTTGTTTCAAATGTTATCTATTCTAAAAAAAGATGCAAATTTGGACGAGTGGCAAAAGGGTATTAATAAATTTATCTGGGCTAGGAAAAAACCAAGGGTAAAGTTTAAGATTTTGCAGGATGCCCGAGAAAGAGGTGGGCTTAAAGCACCCAAGTTGAAATTTTATTATGATGCAGCCACCTTAACTTTGATAAGCGATTGGCTTAATTTAACAAATAAAGATGTTCTTTCTATTGAAGGGTGGGATTTATTGTATTGTTGGCATGCATATTTGATTTTTAATAAGAAAGTAGATTGGGTTTTAAATCACATATTTTAAGGAATGCTTTTCTTTGAGTTTGGAAGAAGTATTATTATAGGTTAAATTATAAAATACCTATTTGGGGGATTCCTGGACATGTAATTGAGGGAGTTTCTAAGGGGATGAATTTTGATAAAATTTCATATAAGGAGTTATTAATTTGGTCAGGTAACGATTGGGAGCTAAAATCTTTAGATGTATTAAGACAAGAAAATATTTTATATTCATGGTTTCAATACATACAAATTGTGGATAGGTGGACAGTAGATAAGAAAGTTGGAATAACATTAGGAGATGAAAACTTGATTATTCAGATTAAAGATCAGAATCATGCTCATATTAAAAGAATCTATGATGAGTTAATAAAATTGGATTCAGAAACAGAGTTCGTAAAAGATTGTATGATTAAATGGGCTCAGAATATCCAGGAACCGATTTTATTGGATCAATGGGAGAATAGTTGGATTAGAAATGTAAAATTTACACAGGCCCAAAATTTGAGGGAAAATTTTTACAAAATGTTTTATAGGTGGCATTTG